CTTAGCAGATCGTGGCATGTCCGCATTACCTAGCATTGCCTCCGGGCGTGACCAGACTGTTCTCGCGAGGTGCATCGAGCACTCGTTCGCAGACTGTTTGTATGTTGACGGGAAGGCGCGCAGCCCCCTGCGCAGCGATTCGCAGGCTGTTTTATGTTCGGCAACCGAGTGCTCAACCTATGGCGTAACCAAGCGCAGGCTGTCAAATGCTCTGCTGCCGAGGGCGCAAATTATGGCACACCTAATATCAGTCTGTCTTAACTTCGGCAGTCTAGGGCGCAACCTATGCCCTATGGCGCACCCCATGTATGGCGCATTCCGCGCATCCCATGGCAGGCCCAAACCATGACGCAACGAAAGGCGCATCCGATCGCTCGCGAAACGAACGGCATTGATCGCGCGACAAATGGCGCAACCCATGAACGGCGTAACCTATGGTGCAACCCATGGGAATCGCAACCCATGGCGCATCTCTTGGGTAGCGTACATGACAGTTTTTACGGGGCTGCGCCTGATTTGAGCTCGCCGTTTGGGCAGCTGGGGCCCCAGCGGCCCAGCGGCGACCTGCCTTGTCACTTCTATCGCGTATGCGCCATGGCACATCATGTCGTAGCAAAGCGCGACATGGCGTGGCCTTACGTGCCGTACTGCCGTATTGAGCAGCATGTCGCAGCTTAGCGCAGATTTGGGATGATTCAGCATGGCCTTGCGTAGCCCATAACGCAATAGTATGGCACAGCAGGTGGCATCCCAGCACATCAGAGCACAATCAACATCTGCGCGAGGAGCCAGCGTCCGAGTACGAGGGGCGGGCCAATCGGGTGGCACCAGACAGTGCCGACCCCCCCCCCTACACGAAACATGGAAGAGCCCTCGAGGCAAGCCCAGCAGGGGAGCACTCCCGGCGCGAGCTCGCTCGGGATCTGCCCTGGCCCCCCGATGCAGCAGCTGGACGAGGCGGCTAGGGGTCGGCGCAGCACGCTCCACGCGGCCACTCCAAGTCTCGTCGTAGAAGGCGGGGTCCCTGGCCAGGAAAGGGCGGCCTTGTGCCCAGACCCTCCCCGAACCCTCCCATTCGGCTCAGATCAGAACCCCCCCCCACATGTGACCCCCCCCCCGACTTCAGTATGAAATCCCCGGAGTATGTGGATGAGCTTTCAACTCATCTTCGGCAACGCCCCAATCACGACGTGGTTGAAAGACGGTGTTCAGTTCCGTGTCCTCTGGCCGACTTCGGGAGAAGCGTTTCCAGATGAGGTAGTTATTGAACAAGTTGGTTTGGTACATGATTGCGGTGACACGCACGTCCCAAGTGTGGGGAACATGTTTCAGCGAGCTTCTATTTTGGAGTGGCCCCTTTGACACAATTACCTCGCGTCTGGCTCTGCTAATGCTCTCTCCAGCCAGGTTCTCGTCCGGCGTCGTCTCCCTTCGCGCGATGTTCATGGCGCCAGTGTACTCCGATGAGATGCCCCATGGCACATTGAGTGCCGCAAAGTCTTCAATGGACCTGTCTTTAGCGGTCGACGCTGCCATCGTGACCCTCCAGTCCAGCGGAACGGATGAGAAAGTCCGGCAGAACAACATGCCGTTCGAGTTCATAGCAGCGCACACTTGCAGAATAGACGACCCGAGTTTGTACACAGTGCCGAATTTTGGGGCCGCCCAGGGGCTTCTGAGGACAACCTTGGACGACAAGGTCTTGAAGGTCGTAGGGATTGAAAAGCTATACCCCTTCTTCACGCCCATCCTTTTCTGATCGTCTGCCCCCCCACTCCCAGAGGGCGGGAGAGGGGGAGGAGCGACGTGGATCTGTAGAACTACTTTTAAGTCGGACCTGTCCCTCTACAGGGGGAATATTCAAAAATAGTGTAAACACAGTCTGTGGACTATGTTTTGAGTATTTTGGGGCATCAACTGAGTATGTTTTGATTATGCTTTATTTTTCATCCAAAATTCCCCTGCAGGGGGGACAGGCCCGACCTAGAACTACTTGTCGTCCTCCCAGGTCGGGGCTCTGGGACCCTACGATTGGGGTGGCAATGATGGCAATTATAAGCTGGACCCACCTGCCGGGTTCTATCCAGAGTGGCTCACGGAGTTCTGCAAAGTTTTCAATTCTTTGAAGGGTCCTGATGGTGTCCGTTACAACTCGTCAGGAAGCATCGCGTGCGAGAGGGTCTATCAACCAACCTCTGGCTCGGTCTTCGAGGACTTGTTTGGCGGCGTCAGCTACGTCACGGAGCCATACTACGTCGTGGATTCGTTCTACACGGGCACCGGGCAACCATGCGCAACCGACCAGGATTGCCGCCAGGCCAATCTTGAAAGCGAGCGCGAGTACTGTCGAAACGCCGATGGGGGAGCTGATGGCGATCTGACGTGTCAGCATCCGTCTTCGCCGCGATTCAGGCACTTCCGGCTCTCGTGCTCCACCCTCGGGGTCGACAGCACCTTCATGACCAAGAGGTATACGATTCCGTCTCCGGCTCCAGACGAG